CCCCAAAACCCCAAAACCCCAAAACCCCAAAACCCCATACATTTCAAAGAAATTTGAATCAAATCAAGAATTTCTTAAATATGTATGAAAAGTGTTTCATGACCCAGAAACACTAATGCTTAGACACATCTCTATGTTTGGCTTCTAAGTCAGAAAACTTGTGATTAAGCATAATTTTTGCTAAGATTATGATGTATAATCTAGTAATGTGTATCCAACATCTTTTCTAAACTCTGTGATCAGAAACCCTGAACGTTATATTGCTGTTAAATAGTCAAGCTATTGAAATTACCATACTAGAACTCTTCCAAAGCGGATTTAGAAGCAACGAGAATTCTTTTGAATCTTATGGATGCAACCCCAGGTCTCAGAATGTCCAGAAGCAATCAGCTTGGTCTTTAGACATAAAGTCTAGGAAATTCTAATCAAGGTTAGGCTTGGAAACATTAAGGCATCAAGGTTGAAACAAGATGAGATTTAGAGAGATCAAGCCAGGCTAGATAAAATTCCTTGGTTGATATCTTTCGATAATAGTGAGTCTGATACCTTATTAATTGTAGCACAGATTCTGCTGTAGGCTCTAAAACATCCTTGAATTGTAGTCATAAAGGCACCCTGTGTATTGAAAGTCTTTTCATGAGCTATTACTTCTACAATGGTGGGTATTTACTTCTAATTTTACTCCCAAAGTTATTCTGATGCCATGTTTCGGAATTGAATTTTACATACAAATCAATCAAACTTCTGAAAGTGCTTATCTCAAACTCTGAGATTGCATTGATCGATTAGGTTTTGGTAGGCCCAGTCAAGCTTTAATTCTTCAGATTATGAGAAAGAATCGTAAATTTCCTGTGAGTGGTTGCCAAAGTTTAGCAAGCTTGTAGTAACCTTATAGGCGGTATATATTGGCAGGCATAGGATGTTGACTTCCTTGTTGTATCAATGGATCCCCAAATCATGGTGTAAACCTTGGTGACTAAATCCCAAGAAGTAATTAGTCGTGCTCAAACTCTCTAATTATGCAGATATTTGCTGTTTAGTTTAAGAATCTGAGTGAAGAAGCTATCTGGGCTACAAACCATGGGTGCTTAATTTGGATGAGAAAGGTACTGAAATACCTCTGGCTCCCTATCTCTTCGGTAATAGGCCATGACCGAATCATCTGGCTAGGATACACAGGAAGGAACTAGCAGTGTTGTAATAAGAATGAGTAAATATATATTTTATTGTTGGATGAAATTTAGAGATTTTCAGTGATATTGGCCTATAGTGGGGTTTTGGGGTTTTGGGGTTTTGGGGTTTTGGGG